GCACGAAAACAGCGATCAATTTATAAATCCCTGTTTTAGAACTACATCCGAACGGGGATTACAAAACAGAAAACACAACAAACCACAAGAAGCAGACAAGTGTAAAAAACAGTTTACATCTGCAGCAACTGCAGAGAACATTGTGTGCTATGTCATAGGCTGCATACACATTTGTTGTGAACTGCATGTATATTTGGTGTGGGGATTAATATCCAGCATGTAACATAATTTTATTGGCTGAATTTAGCGAATGATAAATATCCTGTACTACTATGTTTGATACAGTATGATGTTTAATTTGCATACAGTTGCATACATCCAAGTAGAATATTTCGGCACTATAGTACCATTTCACTTCAAGATCTAGTACTATTTTGAGCTCGTGCTAAGTTGCGCCGTCAGCTCCTCCAAACATACATACATAGCTCCATACGACATCAAATGGTGACAGGTGTGGGCTGTGTTCATACTACATACTAGATCAAAGCAAACATTATTCCAATGCAGGTACTGGCTATACATGCTGCAATTTTTAAGTTATTACTTAACTGAACAGCATTTGCCAAGTATCATTCACACATTATTATATCAATCTAATCCCAAGTTCATGAATATTCCAACTAAGCATTGATATAGTCATTCCTAGATTAATCAATTTCAGGCAATAAAGATACACTGCATGTAACAAGACAAGTTTTATAACAGTCTTAACCCAAGGAAACTATCCATTTCAGATATAGAGTGATATAATTCCTAATCATCTATGTTTATTTTCTTGCAATATAGCCATTTCAAAAAAATTATATACGTCATTATCACAAGTGGCAGAAGCCAAATGATTCATAGATATTACTAAGTTAGGTATTAGTATTATAACATACTGGATACAAAGCTCTCAATCACAAATCATAGGATTACTGGTAATTATTGTCCAATATATACAGCAAATTGATATAAATAAACTATATTACAATAACTACCGTATATAAACTTATAATACAATGAAATGAAAATAATATGATACCGAATCATAAAACAGAGACTGTTGAAACTGCTAATCCCAATTTTATGAGTTTCATTTTACGTTTTATCTGATTCAAATATTTTCAAATCAGAAAAAAAATTTCAATCTGAGGTTGATCTGAAAAAAGATATTTCAAAGTACAACATATTGGTAACAAAAATTAAATTTATTTTTAATGCACCATATTTGCTCTATTATTAGCACATGCGCTGGTGTGTATTGTGAAATTAAACATTATTTTAATGATTCAATATGTTTATATGCACCTCTGATAGTGCAGATATGGTTTAATAGTTGTAATGTTTGTAATTCAAATGTGTGTCTGCTTTTTAAAATTCTAAGACTTATAAATGTGATTACCATATTTGCTCTTTAATTGAAGTACATATATACAAAAAAAATGCAATACATGTAAAAAATGTATCTAAGCTTCAAAGATCTCATTAATGTTTTAATGTACATTTGAAGTAATAATTTAAAGTACATTTTCCATTACTAGACATGCCATCTATTCATATACTAAGTCTGCTTACATCAGAATACACACCTAAGCTGATCCTATATACTGTATTAAAAGCTTTTCTAATGTATGATTATTGAAATACGACTGATTTTAATTATATAAACACACAAGAATTGTGCACATACACTACTAATAGAGCAAATTTTTTGTCAGTAAAGTATTTGTATCAATTGTGTACTAAAAAACATCCTAACCAAAATTAGTATTAAAAGGCTACAGGCAAAGATGCAACCCAGACTGCCAATGATAGCCGCGTGTTTCACATGCTGTCCCATGATTGACTTGGATCTATCAGTAGATGTCAATCATTGGAATAATCATGAACGAGTTCTTCATTATGTAATCTTTTAGGTACAGTATCCATCAGCCACAATTTCAATATTCAACCAATATTTAACAAATTCTTAAATGTTAACAGACTCATAAGACACATTTCATTTTTAAAAAGGGGGCAAGACTACCCTCCCCCAGAATCATTCGTGCAGGACTGTCAAGCCTCTTCTGATTCCTCAACAAATCCACACTTTCCAGAAATGTCTTGAAATTGGCAGTTGATAAAAACCACATACCTGCAGCCTCATATACTTCAAATACTTTTGTTTCAGAGATCAAATCCGGACAATACATAATTTTTTTTGGAAAATTATTCCTGAACAAAATTCAAAACGTAACGAATATATTATAGTTTTTAACAAGTTTGTGCACATAGTAAATATGGTTTAATAAATTTAGCAAAACAAATTTGGGAGTGGATACAATTTGTATACTTGAAATGCAATAAAATACTTAATTTTCTCTCGGAATTAATTTTCTTTTTTACCTATATTTTACATTCAACTCGTCAGAATCAGTGAAAATAATTCCATACAAAACACCCAAAAAGTCTTTTCAATGATAATTAATTCCAGCTAAAAGTATTTTACAGTATAACCTTTTCACTACCAGACTTCCTCACCCACATTTTTTCTGCACTTTTTTCTTATATTTTTCAATGGTGATGATCCCTAATTTTGGACAAAAATTGAGTCAAGTTTCAGTTTTTACTCAAAAATGTTGCTATTTTTGTCCCAATCTTCTGAAGGAACCTACAATATAAACAGGACTATTTTGTGAATTTGTGATAAAAAGAGGAACTAGTGATAAAACGGATAAAACAAAGCATAAACAAAATGAAGACATACGCTACAATACCAATGTTGTTGCAATGGGAATTTAATATCAAGTGATTTACATTATACTGTTAAATATGAAAATAATACAAATAATAAAACAGGAACAGCAACTGTAGGAAAGAAGGAAAGCGGCAGACATGCTGTGCATTTTATTTATACTGATACATATCAAATGTTCTCTCATTGTAGCGTGTCATTCAATCAACTTTCTCTAAATAGTAAATTTATCACTCTTTAAGTTTGGGGTTGTCGAGGAACAAAATAGTATTGGGTAGCATGCCATCCGATTTTATCAAACTTTGTGAATACATTAATTGCATGTGCATGGCTCAAGTATCACAGCTGCTTGTGCTTATATGTAAAGCTTTGGTCTTATTTTTTTAATTTATTTGATAAATAAGTTATGAACATCAATGTATTTCATTCACAGCGAGTGTAAAACTGGTTGGTGTTCAACAACTTGCATTCAAAGTCTGGGATAGAAGTCATATCAAAGAAAACATTACAACAAAGATGCTATTCTAATGTCTATGATGTGATACAGTGTAGTACATCAGCCTCTGGATAGGAATTCAAAACATGTATAATGTTTATAAATAGTAAGTGTGTATTTAATAAAAATATGTTTATACACTATACAAAAGATTAACCCTTTTAATCCCATGGTCAACTTATAACACCTTACATAAAATAGTACCATCACATTGCTTGTTAACATAAAAATCAAAATCAAAATTTAAAATTGATAAACATTGTCTGTTTGGTCTAGTTAAATTAGGATATTGTTTAACAAATTCAAATATTGCACCATGAACAGAGAAATGAGAATACATGCAAGTACAATCTTTGACATAATTATCAGTATTTTCACGAGTGTAATTTTAAAGTTTCTGTAAATAATTAGAATGTGCACATTTGATGTAAGCTATCCTGACACACATCAATCATAATCCTAAACTCTTCACATTATTCCTTTGCTATATAGTACTGACAAATAAATAGCTACCTGGTAGTAGTTACACTGACAGCCTGTGTTTAACAAAATTTGGTAATTTGTTGTTGCTACAAATTAAATTTATTAATTCAAAAAAAACAAACTCGTACTTACTTTTTAAAACCAAAATAATGAATCTTTACAGAAAAGAACATCTCTAATAAAAGCAAATATAAACCAAAAGAGGTTGTTGTACAATGTATACTGAATCACTAAGATACGACTTATTTCGACCATACAAACACTACTGTAATTTACATAAACACATGTACTACCGATAAAGCAAATTAAAAACATGTATATTATTTTTTTATAACTTAATATAGCTTATGCATCACACACTTTTATCATTGTGCACTTTTATGTTGTGAATTGCTTTACAAGTATCACACAGTTTCGTTGCAGTGGGACTATATTTACTGGTAGTTCCGGTGTACTATAAAACACATTAAAATAGCCACATGCAATTTTAGCAAATTTGACCAAGTGCAAAAATCTTAACAGAATCTTAATTTAGCTAAAGTGTCAACAATCTCATTGAGAGAATCCTCGGGAGCGGATCTACGTCACAAGACGTTCTACATTGCTAAGATGCACACCACTGTACCATGTATTTCTATGGGCTCAATGCGGGCCGTTATGAAACGCCGGTCAAAAAGGCCGTGAAAACAGCTAAAGTCATGAAAACGGCACGCTCAACTTTGATGTAACCATGAGCAACAAAATTTATACATGTTACACATGTAGGGGTAATATTGTTACACTGTTCAGAAGAATCTCAACAACCATCTCAAAGTACCGTTTTAGAGAATTTTCGGCCTTTGTTTTCACCATATCAGGCGGTGAAAATACCTGGATGTCCGCCCCCGAGAATATTTATTTACACTGATATTTAATTTCACTATTTTGGTTTATTGAGCATATGCACTGTGTTTTATTTTCACAAATTTGTTCGCATACATGTAGATTTAATTTAATTAAGCGAATTTTACTTATCAGCGAAAATAAAAACTTGGTGAATAATTAATGTATTTACAGTACTTTATTTTAATTCAAAACATCTTGAAATGTTTTACATTCTACCACCAAATTACTAAAATTAAAATCTAACTTCAATTTAAATTGTGATTGTTTGAGTGTACAACTAGATATAACATCCGATATATACAAAATATATTAAGTAGGTAAGGAAGAATACAATATTGAGTTGAAGTGAAAACACTTAAGATAATCTACATATCTCATACTGTGACATCACCTAAAAAAAAAACAGTAGAGAGGCCTTGAGCAAAAACATGATTGTAATAGGACTAGATGAAGAGGTAACACAACTTGCCATGTCCCTTCCAACTGTAGTTGTGCAACTTCTCTCCTAATGCTGTGAAGTTAGCATTTGGTCTAGAATTAAGTACTATATAAAAGCTGTTATGTATCAGACAGTTCATGGGTGGGGATCACATCTACCCTTCAGTAACTACAATCAGTCTATTGTACAGGGAGTATAAACATGAATCAAATTTAATTCTGTTTCTCTCTTGGACAGTGGCTTTTGTGTGACTGTACAACTGCAACATCCACAGCAATGTAGGAGTTATGAAATCCAAATATACCAGAAAATTCAGAAGCATATTCAATCATAGATTTATAATATTTACTTTTACATTATATCCAAGCAGCAAAAGAAGCAGTGCTGTTGACATGATGTATACTCTAATCATCCTTTACCAATGGCTGTGTTTCTTTCTTGTCTTCGCTGACTAACAAGCTTTCACTAGATGAATCCAATCGAACATCAGTTTGTTGTTGAATGGTATTTGGTGGGTTTTCAGAATCACTGTCAACAGACTCATCCTTCTCATCACTGGTGTTCTGCGGACGTCTAACACCACCCTGGAAAAACATTTATTATTTTAACAAAATTATTAGTATATCAATTCAACAGGAATACATCCCCTACAGATGCCAAGGAGTTGTAGTTGTTGTTTTTTTTATATCATTTCAAAAATTAATCCTAATTAAGCCTCAATTTTTAGAGCACATGTTGCAATATGAACATGCTGTTACAATTAGAATTTTCTTTCGGAATGGATATTAACCTTAAAATATTTTACAAATACTACCATAGTACCACGTTTGCTTTTTCCGTAGCACATGCCCTTACGTGAATAAAATATGCAAACGAATGCAGTTTTTTGTTATGTGCACTTCTATTAAAGACGTGAAAAAAATGATAGTATATTATTTATGGTGGGTTTATGGTCATATTTAGAAAATATGTGACTAATAATATTTCCTAATTCAACAGGATTTTTTTAATTATTGTTCTATCTTGTGGCAATGCAACCAAACTCAATAAAACAAGACATCCACTACAGAAGCACAGTCAAAGCTAAATGAGTCAAAATCTGCTTTGAGGGGGAGATAGAGGATGGTGTAACTACATGTGTACATGTATATGTATTAGTTCATATACTTGACATGGTTGCTCTGACAACCATAGAAGCAGTATGCTGCTGATGACATATGAAATACAATTTGTGTCACTGACAATACTTGAATAAATTAGTAATCAATGTTTTGGTAACTAAAGTTATCAGTGATGGCATGTAGATCAATTTACTACGGTAGTAAGTGCTTTTCATAGTCCAGGAGCTCATGACCAAAAAAGACAGTTACTGTATCATTTACTTCACTTAGTGGCAACTTCTAACCAACTATTATTCATACTTTGATTGGTTCTTTGTGTTTAACACCTGGTGGCAGTACAATTCTAGAGTAAAATCTGAGATCATTTTCATACGAGAAAGACAAAAAGGAATGTACGCCCTCTATCATAACATGTAGATATTTGATAGTTTTGCCTTTCTTTGTTTTACTGTTGTCTAATTCAATGACTACTCTCAGATGTGCTAAGCCATCCTATCAATTCTACTACCACCCATACATTAATTATTATTATGGTCCATATACTACAGATTTACAATATCACACTTTTGCCACATGATGAAATACAAGAACAGGTCTTTTTTTAGACTCTTGGACTTTCTGATGAAAATGATGTGAAGGCAATTCTATATGTTAGGGACAAAAGTGAATGAACATTAAATAGTGAAAGGATAAGTAGACGATATCATAAATAAATACATAAATAAGTGGGTTGTGAATTTAGACTATTTAGAATCATGGATAATCTTAGGAAGGTTTGCAGAGAAAAATTTTCAAACTGATTTTTTAAGAAAAGTATCAGCACAATGGACTTGCATATACCGGTACTAGTTCACATTTCAATATAGAAAAGAGAAACAACAATTTCGACACTCTTGCAAACTCTTGCCAAAATCGTGGTGCTCCGATCATAAAACTTAAAATAATCACCCAAATGAACTACAGAAACAGATTTTTATGTATGCCAACATCATAGCATAATACAGTGTCTGCATTTTGTGCAGTAATAGAATTAAATTCTAAAACTGGTTTACTCTATTAATATTAGCGTACTATATTGTTAATCTGTAGATCTCTGGCAAAATAAAATTTATTTGTATAGAGATAAATCTATTACAAATCTATAAACACATTTTTGGGATGACAAATTAAGAATTTCAGGACATACCTTCCGCATTGGAGCCAGATTTGTACATCTTTAGGTCAAAATCATAGTAAGTGTGTCTTGAACGTATGTGGGTGCTGTTTGAGCAAAAATCAGTGAAATAATAGTGTTACCGCGGGAATTAATAAGCTACTTAAATATTGAATTTTTGGTTCAATTTTTTTTTAATTTGTTGAGCTTTAAGAGTATAATTATAAGGTTAATGTGTGTAGCCTTGGTGTCACATAATATCCAGTTATTTACTTATTCACAGAAATTAATATGTTTATAAAACATTTGAACCAGAAGACATTCAAAACCAATAAAGAAGTTTTTAACAGCTAGAGAAGCAATTTGGTAACGCCCATTTTAAGTCACTGTTAGGTTACCATGTGAGGAGGTCATCAATGACCGCATTGATTGTCATAGAATTGTACACCAATCGTATTTATCTGTCAAGGCATCATGATTGGTCAACAAATTTATGCTTATTAATTTCTAAAAAAATGTTCATACCATCTCAAACATGCTTATACTGTTGAATTCATGATTTGTAGTTTATCAAAATAATCATTCTGTGAAATAAATTTATTTAATGATATATTTTAAAACATTTTCTGCAGTATTATCAGAATCCACAATTTCTAGATTGATATGAATGAGCAATGCACACTGCCAACACTATTAAAGTTGTAACGATTTTTGCTCAAACTTGCACCTTTTCAGAGATATGAAAAATAAGTGGATGGAGAGCAAGGCAAGAGTATACCAATAATTATTTCAGAGAATACTGGGGTAGAGGTGAAATTAACAAATTGATATTGGAATGATTTCCCTGAATACTTTATTATTCAAATATATCTCAACTCTTATGATAAATGATGAAAATCACTGCTTTGTTAAAGCCGCAGATTAGTTTAGTATCTCACTCATAGATTGATAAGATTGATATCATTGTAAAATCTGTATTAGAAACCACAGCTTCTATCAAATTGGTACAATGCAACAGAGGGGATGTGGTTTCTATTAGAACAGCTACACATATGAGAAGTGATGAAATATTGGCTCTCAATTGTTCAAAAAGAATAAGTATGACTTCTATTAGAAATGGGGCTTCTAATACAGATTTTGCAAGTGTGTATCGAATATGAATTAGCATTTTACTGATTATTAGTATTCTGATAACAGTCCCTGAAGAGGTCTCATACAGAGACTGTATGCACTGTTTGAAATGTGTAATGAAATAATAAAGTTATATACAAATGGTGAAACATTGCGCAAACAATTAAAGGAAGCATGCAATGGAGAAAATAAATGAAGTGCAGAGTTATAGCCTACTTAATGAAAATGGCTATTCACCCTATGTCCATTCCATAGATGTTTGACTTCATGTCTTGCCCAGGCAATTACAAGGGTTGTAAGCACTGTACAGGGTACTAAGTAGAGTAAAGCTGGCTGTCCTGTTTGCATAAAGAGCAGTGCTACAAAACATATAACCAGTCCAACACCATATGCTGTAGATAAATATACACATTGTTAGTGTTCATAAATCAGTTATAATAGCATTAATCTGAACCAGTGTGCATGATCCTCAAGAATCTAATATGGATTTGAATTCAATTTCAAGTTCAAGTGACTGAAAGTATCCAATGTGTGTTTTCATTTTACCAACAACTTATCTCTTACAAAGTCAATATTTGTCACTGTTCACAAATAAATCAGGATTTTTTTTTTTACAAATTTCCAGAAGTTTCGAGTTTACACGATCTGTTGTAAAAACATTTCAATTTTATCTGCATAGGGGATTGATTTCATGACGAAAATAGTTGATACCTAATCAAAGAAGGAAAACCAGAAACAAATTGTGCAAGCTAGAAATCAACCACCCACCCCCATCCTACCCCACATTTTTGGAAAAAAAATCACTGGTGGCGCTATAACTCAAACTCATCTGTTGTGATGAAGATTAGCAGCCATAGGAAAACAAAAAAATGATATAGAACTTTGTATAAAAATTTCAGGACAAGTAGACAGGTATTACATGTTCACCTGCAATATTGAAACCACTACAGAATCATGCAGGTCTCATAAATATTCATAAAGCACTAACAAACCAAGCTATGTTAAAGATTTATTTTAGAGTACCTTGTCTATGCAGTAAAAATGTCAAACTTACCCACAGAAGTAGCAACAAAGTAAATTTTCCTGGCACGTACTTTGAAATCAAATCGGCAAGCATATGCTACCAGCATACCTATACAGAAAAACATTATAAAATGTTGATACATTTTAGTAAATGTTTGCATTTTTTGTGTGCTTTTAAAACAGCAAAAATGCTATTTTGACTGCTACTATTTATATAGCTACCATTTATTTATGCCATGATGTGTTTTGCATTGTGTGCAATTTTAGAAACATTTTTGTAACAAGAAAGTTTGATGATTTAACAATTTCAGGACATTTAGCCAAAAGCAATGCAAACAAACACCCCTGCCCTGCCCGCCTCACCCACACACATACAGAAGCTTAGCTGTCTCAAAATTAGATTTAGTCATAATGGCAACTAGTGTCATGAGACATTTATTCAGCATTTTTCTCCAAAACCAGTGA